ATGTTCGAGGTACCTTCCAGTCGACGTTAACTTAGCAGATTCATGCTATACAATACATTCAGTGAGTGTCCTACTCTTAAAAAATTAAATAACATAAAATAATCGGGGTGGAACCTTTGTTACGTTTGGAGCGGAAACGATTACGTTGCAAGTGCTATCCAGTTACTCCTCAACACTGTCTCTGCTCCTCACCCTAACAAACAACCACAGTAGTGCAACACTGCCAGTGCTCCCCAATCCTTAACACCAGTCTCTAAAATCCTCTCAAAAGAGCTTAAAACTATCTGAAAATGTCATATGATTTTTTCCTTCTTAAAAAAGCAGCTCTTAAGAATCAGCACACTGTCTACAGCTAAAAATGGATAAAAATAGCAATGTTAAAAACCATTAGCTAAATACTGAAAATCTAGTGCTATTTGTATTTTGACTACATATGACTACATTTCCATACGAGCTTTTTTTTTTGTTGTTAAACATTGTTATATCAGTAGGTGTTTAGCAAACATCATAGTAAGTGTTTCTGTTTCCTACACCAGATTGTCTGAGAGGTTAAATGTCGGTGTAATAGAGGAGGGTTGCTGTAGTGCAGTAGTGATGTTTAAAGGATGAGAGCTCTGGAAATGCAGGTGGTAGGGTTGGTGTTTAAGTAACGCCTGGCCTGCTCAGTCATGATCAGCTGATCCTCCGTTTTCCCAAAAACCACCGCCTCCCACTCGCTGTTGGCCTGGTGGATATGAAAATAGGTATTTAAGTTTGACCAAGTGTTTTTATTAGTAACTAAAACTAAAGCTGTGAAAAACAGTTTTTGTTACTTAAAATTAAGCTGGGAAAAAAAAAAAAAAATCAATATTAGATAAAAAAAAAAGTTATTACAATTTTTTTATAATAACTATACAGCATAACTAACTGAAGCAAAATAAGCGGAAGTACTAAATTACTAAAACTAAAATGAAAACTGAAATAATAAAGTAAAAGCTCATTTAAAAATATAAACAAATACTATAATAGTATATAAATAATACTAAAACACAACGTCTTAAATTTGTTAAGGGTTATAATGAAACATTGTTATAAAAATTCAAAATTTAAGCATTTTTATTTCAGTTAACAAGAGTCAATTATGCGTTTCTGCAAGCACAATGGATATTAATAAGTTAATGTCACATCAGATTATTTTCTTCTTTCCTTTGATGCTAACAGAACAAATGAGTGAATTACCGGAGCGGGTGTTTGGTATGGTGGGCTCCTTTGGGTCATATTTTCTCTCTTGTCCTGTGGGCTAAGCGAGCGGACTATTGAAAAAGATTCCTTCAGCGATCCAGGAGAGCAACAGTTCTCCTCTCTCTCTGTCAATGGCATCATGAGCATTGATCTGGTCAGTAGGTCGTTACTATGAGACTAAAAGAGGGGCGAAGATGGTGTGTGAAGAGGAGAAACAAAAGTATTGCAAACTCAAAAAGTTAAAAACACTCATGCATCATAAGTTTGTAAAGTAGGATAATGGTCTTACTGCTCCATTGCTGTTAATCTGCTGTTGGGGAAACAGCTGTACATTTAAACAGTCTTTTTCCCAGCTGTCCAATACCAAAGACTTTCTCACTTTCCTTGCAGGAGCTTCCATCTGCTGTGAACCCCAAATGACACAGTTTAAAAATAAAAACTAGTGTTCAATTTAAGAGTTAACATTAGATAAAAGCTGTCGAACATTTAAACTAAACCCATTTGCATGATTGTGAGAACAAATATGTAAATAAGTGGCCAGTACCTCATAAGATCTGAACTGAGGTTGGTTCTGCACTTGTGTGAAGATGTCAGCCCCGGTTTCCTCTTTCAGAACCGCTCTGATGTCCTCCTCAAGAAGTGCCAGTGGTTGGGGCTGAACACACCAACATAATATATCAAAAGACAAATTAATGAGTGAAGCACCAGATAAATGTATGAATAGCCTTTTATAGGTGAATCTTTAGTAATCTGTCAAGTCAATATTTAACCTCAAAATTAAAAGAAAATGAAGGCTGTTTTTGGGACTGTTAAGTTTTGTCCTAACAAATATTTGAAAAATATATTAAAAATAAAAATATTCATGAAGTTATATATACACATACACACATATACATATATATATATATATATATGTGAGAGACTCGTGTGTGCGGGAGAATAAGAGTGTATCACACTAGGCAATCTTAACCGTGCCAGAGCGCGTCTGACCCCCAAAGCCCAGTTCGTTTGACTAGTGTGATGGCTCCGTGCCGCGGTTCGTTTAGCCGGCCCTGGCTCGGTTGGAATAGGTGGGCCAGAACGCGGTTCAGTTGGGCTCGGGCGCGGTACATGTAGTGTGAGCAGAGCGAGGAACTTCAGATACGTGCAGCATGATTGTGTGAACATTTCTGAGCGGCAAAAGTGATAGATCTGTAAAGCAATATATTGTGAGAGGGCCGTGTGTGTTACCGCGTCCCAAACGACTCAAAATAATAAACCACAAAGTTAACAAAACGATGCACTCCACTGTGCTGAGCGAGAGCATTTCTCTGCTGCCTTCACGTGCTATTCCTATTTCCCACTTATGAAGTCGCGAGCGCTTCATGTGAGCGCTGCGGTGCTGCAGTCTTAGGCCCACCCCAAATGCTCTCATTGGTTGAGACGCGTGATGACACCCATCCCAAGCCATACACATACACATACATATATATATACACATACACACACACACACACTGTGTGTGCTCAGATCAGGATTTTTGGAGCCGATCTCCGAAATAGTATCTGCCGATACGATGACCGATACCGATTTTTTGAACCCTAATTTTTAACATGTAGAATTATTTATAGTGATACTCCAATCAGAATGGGGGAATTCCCCTCTTAGGTGAGTCTTGTGGGAGGGATTTTTTAATTTGAGGGGTGGAGTGGGGCATTTTTTTTTGACATTTTTTAAAAATATATAATTTTCTCACCTAAATGTTTGATCATGCAGTGCATTTTTACAATAGGGCAATTGCTGCACAACAGTTTACACACAGCACAATCCTGATTTCGTGAGCTGTATGTGAGGCGGCCTTAAGGCCAAAGTATACTGCGGCAGTCCAAGTTCCGTGACACAATTTTCGCCATCAGAAGTGTCCACGTGCAGCCCAATTTTTGTGACCGCGCGGATGGCCCGAGAACAGCGCAGGCTGTTTTACAATATATATACATACATATATTGCTGTAGGCCTCTTAATAATGACACAGCATCAAGGGTTTTTCCATTTGGACTTACCACCATTCTTAACGGGCCATGCATCTTCTCCTGGGCGGCCAGGGCGTTTTTGAAAGGAGTGGGTGTTCTTGGAGTGTGGACTATAATATTCTTATGGAGTTTTGGAGTCCTAAAACTGTTAAGACAAAAATAGTATGTCATTTCTCGATTCTGAGACTGTCAGCTTGATTTTCTCAAACAGCAGAGGTGAAGAATAATGCCTGACCCTGCATTCTCCTTCTGGTGTTTTGGTGTGGTCTCTCTCTGGTGGGGTGTGTTAAGGAGGCATTTCTGTCCACACACTGGAGTGGATGTAAGAGCAGGATTGTCGAGGCTCAAGGGCTCACCACCAGACACATTGAAGAACTAAATGGGAAAAAAAGTTTTGAATGAATCCACACAATTCTGTGGTCTAAAAGGTGTTTTGTGTTATAAATCTAGCCATACCCGAGAGGGTGAGAATGGCAGGCCTTTGACAGGGGTGTTTTTTGGTGAGTTCCCACTGTTGTCTATGTAAGCACAGCTCCTTTCATCTGCAGGTGACTGATCTCCTCTCTCTCTCCTCTTCTTTCTCATGATGGACGGTGGTGGAGAGCTGAATCTGTTCATGCAGGTGTTAGAGAGAGCCACAGACTTGCCCTGGTTCAACGTGGCACACTGCCTGCTCATCGCTGGGACAGTGGGAGCATTTATTGGATAGGCCAGGCTTTCTGTGCACCTCTCCAGGGTCGTACAAACATCAGTGGGGTTAGTGGCCTTCGGGGAGGGGCCTCCCTCAGTGAGATCAAAGCTGGTCACATCACTCCAAGCCAAAGGATCCTGATGCATCAAAACATTTACCTTACTTTTCATTAGGTGGCAAGTAAAAATATGCATCTTTGATATCATTTTACTAAACTGAACTAAATAACTAAATTTATAATGCCGAGTAAATTATACTCGGCATATAATCAAGTAATTGAGTATATGTAAGCAATATTGAGGTTAGTATACTTTACAGAATGTATTCAGAAATACGGTAAAAGGTGAACTGAGAAAAATAGAAAACATGAAATCTATAACATCAAATATAACTTCACACCTCACCTAAATAAATACCGCCTCTTTTAAGTTTAATATACTATAAGGGTGTGCCACTTTCAAGACCAAATGCAATAAAAAAAAAACATGAATTTACCTATTGTTTTATGGATGCACAATATAGGTACAGTCTTATATCAGTTATTGGCTAAAATACTTCTTTTTTTTTTTTAAATCAATAAGTATCGGTCGATATTGATATTTAATTGTGCATGCGTATTTCCCCTATTTTTTATCACCTAATGCTCACCTAAAGTTTTTTTTTTTTTTAATAATTAAATAACACTGTTAATCCTTCTCAAAATAATTTTTTTCCATATTGTACATTATAATTACTTGTAGCGTTTAAAATAATTGATTTTAGTTTTTGATATTTTAGATTGAATTTATTTAGACAAAATAGAATAGTATTTTAATATCGTCCATTTCTCGGTTTTTAGTAATCAATAATTGTCAAATTACTGGTATTGGAAAGAACTGCTATATTGTATGTGTTATATTTTGTATCGGACAGAATTGTAACATTGTCCAGAATTAACCGTTTTGATCATAATATTAATGCAATATTAATATTCAACATGTATACATTATAGAAATATTATAATATATTTTTATTACAAAATAATAAAATAATAAATCTATACTATAATATTATCCATAATTTACTGTCTATATTATACATAGATAATACATTATCTATATTATAGATAATGTACTGTCCACATTACATTAGATTTTTGTAATTCTCTGCTTACCGAGTCAATAAGCTCCATGGTCTCTGCAAACTCTGGGATGGTCTCTAGAGTGGACAGCACAGCACTGGCCTCAGCAGCCAGGAACTTGCTGGGAGAGACAGGCAGAGGCATCGCAGCAGGCTGGCCCTCCTCTAAACGACACAGCTCGACCCCTCTGTCCTCCACACTCTCTGCGGTGGTGACAGTATCATCGGGAAGGCTGTCCGACCAGCTGGAGAAGCTCTCTGGATTCTGTATAGAACAAATCCATTGAGGTCAGGGAGAAGAAATTATGATTATTAAAAAAACATGATAAAACTGAAGTGATGTGGAAGGGAGAGTTAAGACATATTTGAGTCAATAAACCTACACTACTTCACTTATAATATGTGAATTTCATATTACTTTGTGACCATATGTGACCCTGGACCACAAAAGCAGTCATAAGTAGCATGGGTATATTTGTAGCAATAGCCAACAATACATTGTATGGGTCAAAATTATCGATTTTTCTTTTATGCCAAAAATCATTAAGATATTAAGTAAAGATCATGTTCCATGAAGATATTGTGTAATTTTCCTACCATAAATATATAAAAACTTAATTTTTGATTTGTAATATGCATTGCTAACTAAGAACAAAGACAACTTAATATTGGATTTTCTCAATATTTAGATTTTTTTGCACCTTCAGATTCCAGATTTTCTCAGATTTGTACAGATTCTCGATCAAATATTGTCCTATCCTAACAAACCATACATCAATGGAAAGCTTATTTATTCAGCTTTCAGACGATGTATAAATCTCAATTTCAAAAAATTGACTTTTTTTTTGACTGGTTTTGTGGTCCAGGGTCACATATGCTAAAATCTCTTGTAAACATTTATGAAATTAACTGAAAAAAGAATAAAAGCAATATATTCTCTATGGTAATGATACACTGCATTCTTGCTGACAATTGACAAGGAAACGGTGAATAATTATTTAAAGCCATTCATTTTCACCTAACCTAATAATTGTAAACATGCTACTCTCCTAAGTTAATAATATTATTTATAATGATAGGATAAATTATAATATGCAGAAAAGAATACAGTATGTATCGTGAATATAATTTTCAGATAATATAATGATGAATATATTACAATTAATAAATAAGTGAAAAAAATAAAATAAAAATATTTGTAAAAACATGCCTTCATGCCTGAAAGCGGTCACTAGCGGTAGTTTTAGTTAATAAAACCAAGGGTGGGTGTGAGGCAGGGAGGCAGTGAAGGCGGGTAGGATTTACTAAGCAGCATAGCTAGAAATGAGGGTATGGGGGAGTAAGATGCAATGAAAGAAGGCGATGGGACCTATAGCGCACTATTCTACGCGCACACAGTGTTTCTTACACGAGGGCCCAACTGTCTTCTGACTTCACTTTCAGCTGACATTAGCAACAGCTCTAGCTCCTTAATTCTTTTCTCTTTGTCTGGGTCATCATGGCATGGCTGTGAGGAAGAAGAACCAGGGGGAAGAGGCGCAAAGAGAGACCGAGACACAAACTTTACTGACAATTTCACAAGACTTTTATGAGGTCCTGAATTTCACCAAGCAAAACCACTCAGGATTCAGATGCTTTTTAGGACTTTGATATTACATTCAATAATGCCAATATGTTCTAAAAGCTATTTTATAGTCCATACAAATTCGTAAAACTGCATTGGTGAAATTCATATAAGGAGCAGTTTAACACCACACCACACACATGCAGATTAAACAATTATACACAAACATATGAGATTGATTTTTTTAAATAGAGAAGACAAACAGACTTCAGAAAGCAGGAAGTTCAGAGATATAGAGGAGATTGAAGCATGCCATGAGAACTGCACCATGGGACTTACCGACATAAAGCTAGAGATCTCGACACTAATGTTTTCCATACACTGGCCACTTTGTGAACCATACGGATATCTGGGTGGCTGCCAATCAAAAACAATATGAAAGCTTGTATGTTAAATACTTCACATCTGATATGTATTATATTAAGCATAAACACAGATTAAGTCGAAAATTGTTGTTAGATTAATAAGTGATATTAAAATTCTATACTATTTTGTCTAAATAAATTCACAAAAAAACAAGCAAACAAACACACACACCAAAAACTAAAATTATCACCTGTGATTGGCCACTCATGATCATTTGATTCTGGTCATGTTGATATTCCACAGATGGACTGGATTTGGGGTGTTTCTTCTGGCCAGGGTCACTGCTGTAGCTCTTGCTGCCCTCCTGCAAGTAACCCTCATGTTCCACCTTCCTGCGCATGGTGGAGTTCCAATGATTCTTAATGGAGTTGTCTGTCCTATAAGAGTCCAGTAAAGTAAAGGTCATTCTCTGGCCTACACACACACACACAAAGAAACAAACAGGTATTCTTCTATATTCTGCATAGGTTTTAAATTAAAATAGAGCATTTTACCGTCCAGGAAGCAGCTTTGAGATCTCAGCCCAGCGGTTGCCCAGACGTTTATGCGCTTCATAGATAATACGATCCTCTTCCTGGGTCCAGGAGGATTTCTTCACTTCTGGGTTGAGGTGATTGTGCCAGCGCTCTCGGCACTGCTTGCCTATGCGGCCCTGTAAGTGCTTGGCAATCACTGACCACCGTTTGGGCCCATACTTGTGAACCAGCTCAATCACCTGTTGAGACGTAAAACAGATGATCAGAACCTAAGTGAGACTGAAGACTGGAGTAATGGATGCTAAATGCTGTTTTGGTGAGCATAAGAGACTTCTTTTAAAAACATTTAAAAAGTCTTACTGACCCATAAAACAGTATTTTATGTACAACTTCTAGATTTATATTAACATAATAAGCCGAATAGGGCAAAAAGTGACTTTTTGTGTTTAGAACCGTGTCAGATCTTCTGGAATGTTGTCATGGAACTTCTAAACAGTGTGATGTAGGATATTGCAACAAAAGCTTTCAGTTCTTCTGGTGGTAGAGGAGGAGGACAATGACTTTTGCACTCTAAAACTCTGAATCAGGACTATGAGGTCATCACACCCCACCCAAATCAGTCATCTTTTGCCATTTATTCATCCATCTCTGTCTTCCTCTGAGGACATGGAACACCCGGCTCGTCTTACCCTCTGATCCTCCTCTTTTGTCCAGGGTCCTTTCACCAGCTCTGGGTTGAGCACCTTTTGCCAACGGTGCTGACATTGACCATCTGTCCTTGTCTGTCAAAGTGCAACAAAATCCCACATCAACACCTGCAGCAAGTACACATACACCTACAATAACATCTTTACTAACTCACAGGCCTGTCACTAATAATACAACATACATTTAACAATAGTTCTGCTGAAATTCTATCTAGCCTTTCCTTTGCAACAGTATTTTTCAGTCTAAAGATAGAACTTAATATGATGCTTTATAGTAAAATAGTACAGTATGGTACAGTATAGTAACATTTAATTTAATACAATTTTAAATTTGTATGTGAAATAATAAAAAAATCACTTCACAGCTACACTAAAATATTCCAGCCACATTTTAAAAATGCTTTTAAAGTAATGATTAAGCATTTGATTCAGCAAGTTACTTACTGGGAAATAATTGGCGATTGATTTCCAAGCGCCAGTTCCGTGTTGCTCAACAAGCTTCTTTAGCTTCTCATCCTGCGCACGAAAGAGATATCATGAGATTTTCCACCTCAGACACAACTAGCAGGCTGTGAGAGCAGAACTAACAGCACTTTGCAATTCCCCACCCTTTCCTGTTTCATCACAGAAACCTAAAATGTTTCCTAATATCCCATTTGAAACTTAAAATATCATAGACTGCCGTTCAAAAGTTTGCAGTCAGTAAGATTTTTGAAATGTTTCTGAAAGAAGAATCTGAAATGTTCTAACAAGAATTGTTAATGCTCTAACAATTAAGAATTGTTAATGCTCTAACAAGGCTGCATTTATTTGATCAAAAATACAGTAATATTTTTGTGGAAAGTGGAAACCATGATACATTTTTTTATTCAGGATTCTTTGATAAAAGGAAAGTTCAAAAGAATAACATTTATTTAAAATAGTAATATTTTGTAACAAAATAAATGTCTTTACTGTCACTTTTGAGCTATTTAATGCATCCTAGTTGAATATAAGTATTAATTTCTTAATATATAAATATTGCTATTATATGTGAAAGAATTAGAATTAAAATAGAAATGCATGCATATAATACCTCATCCCGGGACCATTTAATTTTGCACAGGGTCTTTTTGGAATTCTTGGGGTCTCTGCTGTCAGGTTCCGTAGAATGACGTTCATCATCCTCATCTTCACTGCAGCCATAAAACACAAACAAAGAATACAGAAAAGGAAGAGTCAAACACAGTTTTCTGTTTGGTCTAATTGGACAAACATTGTCTCACAGAAGCCATTACTCTCAAACGGTCTGTCTGACACAAACCGTTGAGCAGACAAGCATGATCGCTCATCTGTAGATACAAGATGCAAACAGTTTAGAAAAGCAGCCAGCTCATTAAACAGGACATGCATGAGTGTAATTACTCTGCAAGCTACAAAATTGAATTCAAGCATTATTCAAATTATTCCAGTACAATAGTTTGCATTTTAATTTATTTGAATATAATTTTTTCCATTATCCAAAAACACACACAAAAAACACATTCAAGTCATGTCCACACAAGTAAATTAAAGTGACAATCATTTTGCCCAAGACTTCAGTCTGTAGGAATGCCTTGTTGCCTGGTAACATTTCACCAATGCAGTGAGGTAGACGGTATTTAATCAACACCATGCACTGGGTAGTTAAGTCTCCCTGGGATACCGGAGCACAAACTTAATGGAAAACCATTTATCTGATGCTAATAGTGACTATCAACATAAACCAAGCTCAAGCCTTATTTGCTGCAGTGCTGAAAGATTTTCTAAAAGAGCAAGGAAGTCCAATCATTAAAGAAATATGCAACAGCACATTCTACCAGAATGCCTTGCTGCAAAGTCTAAAGTTACTAATTTTCACAGAAAACGGCATTTTTACATTAAAAAAAAAAAAAAAAAAAAAAACA